TTTGAACGATATTTTTTAAAAAGTGAAAATACAGTGGTGCAATTTAATTGGACTCATCAAATCAAACAGATTTGATTCTTGCTGAAGTGGAATAAGACAGATGCTTATATTTTAAAACATGTGTTAACATCAGCCCAGCCTAAGCCTTCAGAACAAGGCAGCTGTGAGGAGCATAGCCTTGCAAGAAGTGCCAATTTCTTAGGTTAACTAAGCACCTTGTTTTCCCAAAGAAATGCAAACTTTTTAACCCATCAATGCAGTGGCTGTGAACCTTCTCCCAAGCAACAAGACTAAAAACAGCTAACGATTCACACAATGAATCAGTCAGTCAACAGTTTTAGCATAGCCCACACCTTCCTTTTCTTGTGCACAGCACCAGAGCAACTGTTTCACCTCACTTTCCAGTTTTCTGTAAGCAGAACAACTTGTTAAAGACACACTCTCCCCTTTGTCACCCACACTGCACTTCACTTCACTTCCAGACATGTTCAAATGCAAAGTGAGATAAAATGGCAAATGCACAAATACAATAGAGAATAGTGGTGTTAGGAGCAAAGTGCCTATTATAGAAAGCACAGAATTTGTGAGAGTATTTTGGATTGATACTCCAGTATCATTCCAATCTCTCTCTGTGCGTATAGGTACTGTATGTGCTGTATAGCTAGAAAGGGAGAGAGATTCGGACAGCTGGATATACATAAAACCATGCTGTGCCTCATGTTCAGACTAATAGGGGAAAAGATCCTGTTAATTTAACTTATGATGTGCTAGCCTGCAAGTTGCATGCTTCACAGTAGTCTGCTGTGTAGTCCGTTTTGTGTTGTTAATAACACTAGTTTCCCCCTTTGATCTGTCCATTAACACATGAGATACAGTAGCTTGGGTGACTATAGTAATTTAGGAAAAAAAATGCCTATTTGTCTCAAGTGAAGTCTGTTACAGATCTGCAAGGTGACTGGTGTTTGGATTTTTTTTTGCCCGAGACAATGGTCACTTAATTTATTAAAGCTCAGAGCAGGTGTCTCCAACCCTGGTCCTGGAGAGTCCCAGTCCAGCAGGTTTTATAGGTCACCATAAATCACCAATCTCTAAAGACAGTATCACAATGAGCAAGCAGGCAGGAGATCTATTAAACTAAACAATTTAGAGATCATATGGGATCAAAATATGAGTTCCCTTCAACCCTCAAAAAACGTGGCTCTCTTAACCCAACAGATCATTACTCAATTCAGCAATATCGCACAGGTGTTGCCAATCCTGAGAAAGAGGTGACCTACGGTATAAGCATAACTTAAGTGCGACTCTCCGGGACCTGGGTTGGATCGAAGACTATATGTTAACAAACCTTAAAAGATACAAATTAAATCTGAGAGCTGCTCTCACAAAAGCAATACCAAAGAACTCAGAATCATAAAATATAGCACCTTCATAATTGCACGCCGAATTTAGTCATTTGGACTGGGACATAGTCCCTGAAATATAGCTCTGCTTTGATTGCAACGATATGTGCTTAGACTTACAATAACATGTGCAGAGAAAAAAAAAATAATTCCTTACAAACACCAAGGACCAAGGGCAACTATACCTCTTCACTCAAAAAAAAAACTAGGTAGAAGAAAACAATGTCATCATCATTGTACAGTAACTAAATTTGATCATGTACTTAAAATCTTATAGAGGACTTGCCTGAATCCCACTGGGCATGTGAGCTGAGCTTTATTGAAATGACATCTGAAAATAAAGAATACCTGCTGGTCTATCCAATATATTACGAAAGCACCAACAGAGAGCTTCCTTGCAAATGTCTCTTAATAATGTGCTGTCCCCTCTGACAGCACTTTTAGCCCAATAAGCAGCAACATTCTGTAGTACACACTTGAGCAATAACCAGGTGAAATAACCAGGGCAAAACCATTGTATGTATAAAGCAAGAAAAAATAAAGCACGTCTGTACACTATAATATCAAGCACATTCAAGCTCCCTTAGTGTTGATCCTGTGCTGTGCTAGCAGTACTTCATGAACATGCTTGCTCAGTGACTGTCCAGTAACTTAAAGATATAAGATATCAGCATTTACAGAGAAAAGAATGTAACCTTTCTTATCTGTTTTCAGATCCCACCAACTATAATTATGAACACTTGGAATGTAACTCAACTGAAACGTTAAAATTAGTGCATTGGCACCATGCAATGTCCCTGTTTGCTACACCTGCTTAGTTAGCAGTGAAACAACAACAAAAAAGAGTGCACACACCAGTATGATGAGTCTCAAGTGCCACTGGTTTGATCATAGTCACATCAAAATGCTCTGTCATTGTCAAGGAAGAAACGTTAAGTGTCAGGTCTGGGGTCTCTTAACCCAGTGTCCTACTGCCTTAGCTCCATGTTGTATAAATTCATCTCTACAGACAGCCAATTGCCGACTGTGGTAATATTTTAATACAAAACAGCTGATAAAGTGGTCACAAGATGTGCAATATGCCACATGTTACTGAGACAAACTCCACCGTTTACCATTAAAGAATAATTTATTCCAGACCATATGTTCAGCTGGTGGAAAAAAGCTGCTGGAGTCACAAGTTGCCTGATCTCCATTTGATCTTATGAATTAGTGCCTGTCAGTTGGGGCTAAGAATCAGATGGAACGGAGATTACATGACTCAAAAGACAATAAAATGAGCAATGCTACACGCAAAAACATGTAAAAGAACAATCTATAAAACTGGTGTATAAAACAAACACAAGACATGTTCAACTGATAAGGGTGACAATTTGTAAATTTGTGAATTTACACAAAATGCATTCATTTTTTGATAGGGGGGACCAATACTGATTTGTTAAGTAAAGACATTCATAATTGCAAGAACAGTGAATACAGAATATATTATTAAATATATCATTTGAAAACCATAATGGTCTTCCTATCCATTGATTATTCTTAGTGCTCTCTCTACATATATACGCTGAATGTGCCCCATATTGTAAATGAACCCATGCCTGTGTATTTCACTCAAGGATGACATTGTTACTTCATCTCAGTTACAGAAAGGAAATCAGTAAATAATCTACTGTTGTGTGTAAATCAATAAATCCACCAGGATGTTGCTTACTGACACACAGTCATGTTGCTCTGGCTTTTCTAGCGAGAGACCACTGAGAAAGGTCATGATGTGTGTTTAAAATGTGGACTAGTAGCCTCGGACCTGAACTGTTAATTAAAAATTACCACATTAACACATTACCAAATATTTCCACACAATGCAGGCTTTTTGTATTCCATATACTGCATATACAACGATGTCAATAATGAAGCAAAAGTCTTATTTTATTAATTATGTTATTATCTTGATACACAGTATAGTGTAAGCTTAAAACAGGAATGCAGTCTCCTGATTACAGTGTAAAAATGAGAAGCCATAGGTTCTAATAAAGATAATCAGGAAGTGGAACTTTTCAGAGAGTTTGAACCCAGAAGCTATACAGAGTGTATCATGCAGTTCAATCTGCAGAGAGCAAACTCCAGTCACATAACAACATTCTTAAAGATCATATAAGAACAATCAGATAAGTTATAATCAATGGCTCTCCATCCATATCCTCCAGGTGTAAAGATTTCTATCAGAAAATTTCAAGTCTGATGGAAATGGAAATAGAGGTCGGTCTTTCTAATGATTCCTCTGTATCAACTTCACAAAACATAGATGCTTCTCTTTTTTTCCAGATTTTCAGCCATCGTTATTTTTTCATGCACAATATTGAAAACCCTTACTCCATGGACTAAATAGCAAATACAGAAGCTAGTTTTTAACTGAATAAATGCACAAGCTTTGAATATCCTGAGCTTCCTTTGCCTAACCAGGATATCTAATCAAGAACAGAAGATGGAAAATTTGAAAACTACGAAGAGGAGAATTTTAATTTTACAGAGAAATTACATGAGTTGACACAGTTTTCCCTCTATAGTTTTTTTGTCCTAGACAACTGCTGGTTCATATTTTGCTGATAACGTCCAATGCAAAAAACATTTTAATATAATTTTCACTCAAATCAGTCAGTCTGTTGCTGTGTTATTTCACTTGTCATGACATCACTGAGTCTTGTCAATTTCAATTTCCTTTTTATAGTTTCAATTCTTTATATAGTGATGTCACTGCTATCCATACCTGTGTCTGACAGACCATAAATTAAAGTGAGTCTGGCAAAGTCTACATTTCCAGTTCTAAAAAAAACTTGTAATCATTTTCTATCCTTAACACGTGTTCAGCTGCTTCGTTTCTGAATTAAGAAACAGAAGGAAATACCTGGACATAAGTATTTTCGCAGTCATTTTTGGGATGCCGCAAGTAATTGCTAGGGATATTATAATAAAGCTACACTGACCACTATAGTGCTGAAATGTTCCCATCAGGCATGTGCTGTGTTTACATTCCTAAAGAGGAGGTAAATGTTCAAAAGGCAGGTCAGGCTGGTGCCACTGAACCCAAACATGAGGCTGCATTTGTTTATCTGTCAGTTGTGGGAATTTGCAACCAAATGTAAATACCATTGCAAGCCCTAAGCCCTGTAATTCTTCAATACTCTTGTCATGTTACCCATGCTACCAAACACATCTGCCTGTTGAAATAAAAGCATTGAAATTAGGCTACACAGACCTTTCACATCTCTCTGCACCATTCCTTCACCCCTCAAAAAAGTCACTTTTGCTGAATGTTGACTGGCGCAGCTGCAGGAGATGCTCATATTGATGCATATTCATGAGTGCTACATTTAAAAGTTACATGATCGCCCTTCTGTATATATAACCCTGACAGATGTAGGATTCAAGTGCAGGAAAAGGAACGAGGCTCCTTTAAGTGAAGGAAGCTTGTCACCTTGTGTAGCTAAGCACTTCCACTGCACTGATTCTTCCTTATTCCCAGTATAGATACATCAGCTGAGCTAACAGCAAGTGTAATTCATGGACAGGGAGTTCAGAAATAAAGTAGGGCATTCACCATACCTTGAGCAGCAGTCCTCTGGAATCTGACAGAGAGCAGGTTTCCTCCTGTTTAAGACTGATTGGAGTTGTGGGATCATAAACCCATCATCACAGACGTGAGTGTCGTTTTATTTGGCTGCTGACAGGCTGACCAAACAGCTGTGTTTGAAACAGAAAGAGAAAAAGTACATATAGTTTTACAGATGAAGCGAGGAGGGAAATTTAAATGAGAGGCAGAACGGAAAAAAAAGGCAGAAGTCCCTCTACGGTTTCATTTCCCCTCACTCGCTCTCACTCTCTCTCTCTGTTTCTCTGAGCTCTCATTCAACCAGCGACTCTGAGTGAATCAGGACAGCCCAAGCCATCTGTTGAAACACGCCTGCTTCTTTGCTTTACTCACTCACTCGCCGAGAGAAAGAGAGAGAGGGAAGAGAGGGCTGTACTGCTCGCACCCAATCTGAAGGCAGAGCACTTTCTCCAAGTCAGAGGCAGAGAGGGGGAGACGGAGGGAGAGAGAGAGAGCGCAGGATCAATTGTAATGTTGCAGGAGGCAGTACAAGAGGGAGCAGCAGCGTGAAAAGGGAAAGCTGGGCTCAAATACTTTGTATTCATGAGGCTGGGACCTTTCAGACCTAATGGCCTGTGCAAGACAGAAAGAGGGGAAGGGGGTAGCAGAAGGCAGAAAGTTGCAAAGTGGAACTTGGAGAGAACACAGACAGACACACAGGCAGACTGATTCACCTTCAGCAGACACACAGGTGCTCAACACACGCTCTGCGAAAACATGTGAAGAATACAAACTCAAAGCCAAAAACACATTTTCCATTTCAAAATGTTCCACGCCCTACAATGTGAGCCAGACGACTATCTTGGGCGGTTGTGTTGCTTTCTCTTGCCCTGTGATAGCACAAGTGGGAGGACACTGACCTTGCACAAGGGCTGTCTGTCACTGCCCCTGTAACAGCCCCTCTACAAAACCTCATCCTGCTGAGTCACACAATTTACTCCATGACACATCTGCTTATTCTGTTCCCCACCATGATCTTTATAGACTTACTGGATTTCTTACCTTTCACAAGGATTAAAACATTGGATTGAATAACATTCAGCTTATTCAGCTATCTAGTTAAAGCCTTTGCTTATACTTCAAAGTACTTTTTTGCTGCTGTGCTGCTCTCTGATGTAGCAGATTTAAGGCAATGTTTACACATTCATATAACATGAAATGCAAAGGATTTAGTTTATTTGTTTCACAATCTTTCCAGAAATCATTAGCGGGAAGTTAAACCAGCTGGCTTGTTCTTCAGACATTCTTCTTTTGGCAGGCACCTCAGTGGCTGTAGCAAGGATTTTGCCACAGCCTGCTGTAGGTCTTCCTGAAGGAACAGCGTGAGTACCTTACCATATTGTTCGGTAAAACAAAATTGAAATATCTGGGACACATCACCTAGAAATACACTGTGGGAAACACAGGGAAATCAAAGAATATTTTCTAGTATACATAACTACAAGGTGAGGAGGCTCTCATGCAAATTTAAAAAATGTCCAGTGAACCGACAGGGTGTGATACAGGTTAAATGAAACAATGGCTGATGGAACAGCCTAACAAAATTGCAAATACTTGCCTGTAAGGGGTGACTGTTTCATGAACATGGATAACAGACAGAACTGCATGAAAAGAGATGACACAATAATCAATACTAATCACAGTGATTCCCCTAAATTCTCAAGGTCACATGGCCCACCGCAATGCACCTATTTAGTATAGCTAAATTATGAGCTGTATTATACTTATTAGCAAATTATTACAGTAGGTCAACATTTAGGTTTGCATCATCATTCAAAAACCACCAATCAGTCACTTCCACCAGGATTCCTGTCTAGCAATCCAAGACCAGCAACCCCCCTAAATTTAACTCAGGTGAACTCAGGTGATACATGTATCTTAGCATTAATGTTAACACTCATACAATAGTATTACAACTGTGTGGAAGCAGAATATTTAAATGGTTTCTCACACTGTAACCTTTGGACAGTCACAGGTGTACAAATGCACTTACATTTCATACCCACATTATTCCACAATTAAAGAGAGAAAACGCTGTTTTTTTTCTTTCTGAAAAGGCACTCTCAGAAGAAAAAGCATTTAAGCCACGCAAAGATGCACATTTTGCACCCTTGCAGTAACAATCCACTTTGCTCACAGTGCGTATTAATATACATAACTATTACATTTCAGTTTCACAGTTTAGTCATCTTACTGAGCCACTGGACCTTCCACGACTCCAACCTTGCAGTATCAGCAACAGTGGAGCTATAAAGCTTTTGTGTTTTCTTTCTGTCAGAATGAACACACATTTATCAATATCCTGACTGCAGTGCACACTTCGTTTACTGCAACCTTGGTTTGTCAATAGGGATCGTAATGAGGAAGGAAGAAAGGCCACACCAATAACAGACACACAAAAACACCCAAATCCCAAATCCCATGTCATCATTACATGGCAGGGTTCACTGCTGGCATTGGATCAAGACTAGCAACGAACATAATCATAACTGTCACACATACGTTTTTCCGTTAACATTGTCCTAGACCATTTTAAACACGATAACCATCCACTGTCAATAGTCCAGTTTTCTGTTATTCTGAACACATTTTTGTGTTTATTTAAATAACAGATCTCAGGTTTAAATACCAAAAAGTGAATCTATAGTTAGCTAAACCTAAACAAGTGAGGGGGGCATTGTGTTTAAATTTGTGTCTGTGTTCGGTGTTAATTTTGGGGGAGAAATGGCTGGGAGAATTCCGTGGATGAAAATGGGGAAGTTTAGTGAAACTAAAAAGCTGAGTGTACAAGTGGAGAGTAAGCTCGTTGGTGCTACTGTCCAATAAACTGCTTAGAATCCACTTTCGCCATATTTTGATCCTTGGGATTATGTTTTCTTTTAACTTCTAACAACACAGGGATTTTGGCACACTTCCTAAAATAAGAGTGCAACCACATTTCCTGCACTGTCATTAAAAAATTCTTTTCAGAAAACGGATGGAAAAATCAATTAAGGCCTGAAGACTAACAAGTGATTAATGTTTTTGTTCTCTTTCCAGGTAATTTATCGACAGTGTGAAGGCACAAAAGATTAATTACAAGCACCATCCCCAATGTATTGCCAGCACTTCAATTTAAAGCTTTTTTTTAATGCTCATCCATGTGGGTTAGACACGTACTGGATTGTTTTCAACCCTAATGTCTTAGACAAAATATGTTTGCGAAAACAAATTGGCCCAGGAAAACTATTGTTCTTCCCAACAATTCTCCTTCAGCGTTTTCTTGGCTCATAAAACAGATTAAGTAATTAATTGAACAAAAACATTCTTGGTCCTGTTTACATGTACAATATTTTTCTTCACTCATAACTGTCAAGATGAGGACGCAGTTATAGCACATCATCTTTTCCATACAGGAGAGCTCACCTAGCAATTAACCAAATTCTGTTGCAGCTTTGTTGTTTTGACCATACCCAGCTCTTGTGGTTCTTGTACAAATAACAAATGATACAATCTACTTAAAAGAAATCATGAAAAAAAATTAAATTCATTTCTCCATCCCCGGGTTAAAAAAATGCAATTTTGATTGATTTAACTTGGAAGGGTTTCTATACATAAACAGTGAACAAGAAAACTATAGAAGAAGAAATGAACATCGTAACATGCAGAGGAAAAACAATAGGGACACTTAGATCACAAGACCCATGTGTGTAGCATGATCTTCTGCCAATGTACTGCACTTGGAAATGAGCCTTTTATTAAAGACGTCTGTGGGGGTGTGGGTCTATGCTGTGAGTCATGCAGCAAAGATGCTCAGGATGATTATAGAAGGATACATCTTCAGGCTCCTGAGACTCGTATAAAACAGACATACAAAGGGGGGGGGAAACACCACAACCTGACAAACTGCTCAGAGGCCTGAATTTGGATCAAATAAGCCACTGCCGACCAGAGCACAAGCTGTCTGAGGCGTTGGCTTTGTGTACAAAATAATTGGAAATAAAGGAGCAGACGGTCCAGTGAGGCAGTCCCCTCGAATGGTCTGAACTCAATTTCACTGATTCGCACCGAGAAAAGGCGGCTGTAGCTGTAGGGGCAGATGGTTTTTGCAGAGATGGTGAAGCTGCAGGGCAGCAGACTGGAACCAGCACAGAAACCAATAAATGGGGTAAGATTTATATAGACCCTTTATACTCAGAAAAAGGCAGACTGTTGTTTAGGTTTTTTTTTCTTCTGATTCATCTTTCATTCTGTTGACCGCATTCAGAGATGGTTCCATACTAGTAAGCAAACCGTACAAAATAGAATCTCATAAACCAAATGGCACAAGGACAATATTGACAAATATCCCAGCAGGGTTTACAATGAGATTAGATAGAGCAAACATTAAGAATGTGGTGTGTACTGACAGAACCGAAGAAAAAATATTTAATTGAGTGAACAATGGACATTCATTGAATGCTGTCTAGAGGATTAATGGAACTAATGGATAATGGAAAAATATTATTTTGCCCAGAAGGGCCAAGAGTTCTGAAACATTGTCCAAAATACTGCATGATAAGACATGTTAAGTAATAAAATGTTTATGTTAAAAGCAAGCAAATATTGGGGAAAAGTACCAGATTTCACAGTAAAATGACATACTGTACATCATAAAGAACATGTATATTTCCATATCTCAGGAAAAGCACAGAGCAAGACCAGTTTTGTAAATTGGTAACAAATTCCCTAACAAAATATGAAACAATGTTACATCCAATGAAAAAAAACCCTGCTTTTTTCATGCTGCTGCAACTCACCAGGAGTACAGCACTCACTATGAAACATAGTAAGAAATCCTAATACCACTCATTTTAGATCATAACTCCAAGCACCAAAGAAAGGATAAGACTTACTAAACGCACAGAAATTAATGTAGACAGCGCGCATGAAATACAGTAAATGATTTCACAGCATTACTGGCATTTCATTGTTGCTTTCGTGCTTGTCGGCAGTGCTCCTCTGCCACAGTTTACTCAGGAGTGCACAAGAAAGTCAAAATGTTGCGTGACTTGGCTTCGCATACCTCATCATTTATAAAAAAATGGCATCAGCTTCTGGCAAACTGTACTGTCATCAACCTCTCACTCAGAGACTAATGAAGCTGGGAACTATTAACTCTTTGTACTCAGGAGACAGTGACTCTAAAATGATGCATGCATAAACAAGTAGATCCAATAAAATAGTTTTAGACACACACCCAAAATGTCATAAAAGTAGTAACATTTAAGTTTCAAATCCAGATTCAGCAAAAATGCTGCCTGACACTTTAAACAGCCTTTGACA